AAGCCCTTGATAGCCTTTTAAAGGACACGGTTTTGCAAATAACTGTTCTATAGGGCAGAACATAAATACTGTTATAGAGTCATACACAAAAGCATGATCATGACAGAACAGCAAAAGAATAAATAGTGGAGGAAAAAGGAATTATGAAAAAAGGGACTCACCTTAGAAGAAAAATGACAGAAAGTAGGACTCAGCAAGGGAGATCAGAATTAAGTTGTGATGGAATTTTTTTTATGTGTAAAAGCTGGAAGGGAAAGCAGCTAAAATACAAACAGGTTTTGAGGGTGGTGAAAACAGTTGAAAGAAAGTCTATTTTTAAAACTTTCTATTAAGTACTTTTTTGTCATATACATGCTTATGTGAGTCATGTACCCTTGTGTCCCCACGGTAACAACCCTCCTCCACAAATCTACTTCTATCATAGTATTGAAATATATTCTAACACTTATCTGTACTTAATTATTACGAGTCCATCTTTCCCTACTAGACAGTGAACATTTTCTTGTGCTTTGTATTTCCAGTTCCAAACACAGGTCTGCAACATAAAGGGTTATTTCATAAATGCTTGATCAATGAATACATTAATTAATGCATATGTAGATAATACAGCGTTTTCTAAATCATAGCTTTTTTGTATAGAAATTATTTAACTTGGACATTTTCTTAATCCTTTCAGACCTCATGAGAAATTTCTCAATCTCAGCCTCTAACCCAAGAATCCCTAGTAGTCCTTGAGATCCAGAATCTAAGTGTCTGGCTGAGCTATTCCGCCAGTGTATGGTAAAGAAACAGAGCATAGGGAAATTCCTCTTTGGCTGGAGAGTTACGTTACCCACCATTATTCTAGCCTGCATTTACCCCAGATTTCACAGACTGGTGTGTACATTCCACATTCACCAAAAAAGTAAAAGTCCCAGAAAAACCTTTTCAAAAGAATGTAGTTGACTCCCAGTATCAGGGGGATTGATTCAAAGACCCCCTGTATATACCAAAATCTGTGCACACTCAAGTCCTGCAGTGGGCCCCGGGGAACTCATAAATACAAACGTCAGCCCTTGGTATTGGGCTTTGAATCCCACAATATTGTATATTCAATCTGTGTTTGGTTGTGGATGCAGAACCTGCTGATACAAAGGGCCAAATGTATTTATTGAAAAAAAGATCTGTGTATAAATGTACCTACACAGGTCAAATCGGTGTTATTCAAGGGTCAACTGTACTTGTGAACAAGGGGCATACTTATCAGGACAACATACACAAACTTATGGAAGGGATGCCTTACATGTTTAGCATTTTTCCAGACAAACAAAATATTTTCAAATTTCCCACAGATATAAATGGCCCAGTGGATTATCAATTAGTGAGGGACATAGAATAATTAGAAGAGAGAGATTGGTTTTTTTGTGCTGCATGACAGAAATGCAACTCTCAGAAGTTCAATAAATGGGAATATTGTGTTATCTGTGCAACCTCTTGAGCCAAGCAAGAACTCCCAAACAGAAAAGGGCTTCGAACAGTTGGGAAATCCACTGAGATAAACTTGTTGCTACACGTTTTGTTACATTGCTTATGTTGTAAACAATACATTTTCTCCCAAATACAAAACTAACATCTGCTGAAAAAAAAAGAAATGAGGGAGGATACAGAGAAGAAAGGATGGAAAGACCCTTAGAAAACACTGAAAGGTACAAAGAAAAAATTGCTACGGGCCTTTGTAAACTTGAAAGGCATTATGATAATGATGCTCTAAGGGCTGACGATATATATATAGGGATTAAATGGCACAATGGAGCAGTTGGACTGACGTTTCCTGTTAGTATAACCTTGAAATTAGGCTCTCTGGGTCTGTTATCTCATTTACATAATGAGAATACATATCTCACAGGTGGTTCTAAAAATTAAATATGAAATATGTATACATATGTGATATGCTTTATGTAAAGTGCTTAGCACAATGCCTGCTCATAATGAACACTCAGTAAACTTTTACCTTGCATTAGGGCCAAACTTGTCATTGCATCATTACTATCAACCCCACTGTGCCTACTGCCCATCCCATTAGACTCCCCTCCTGGGGTGAGGAACTGCAACATGAGAAATATTTTCTACTTTATTGCCAAAATTTTTAATAGTTAAACTTGTCCCAGTCAGATTACAGATGGTGTAAATATCTGTTAGGAGTGAATGAGGTTTGGGCTTAGGCTCACTCCAGCCATCTCTGTAGGGTTTGGGGAATGCTGTCCTGAGTATAGAGCCCTTTGAGCCTTCTTTGTGTGGATGGGGCAAATGGTCCCTACTCAGAGACACTTGAATAATAGGGACACAGCAGGTTTGGCTTTTTGCTGAGACATAGTCTGTGTGTCAGCAGTGAGCCAGCTGTAGGGATGACCTGGAGAAACATTCCCACAAGAACCTCCTCCTCAAGGATGTCTAGCTCTTTGGAAGTCCCAGTCATCATCCCAATGGTTAGCCCCACTTCCACTCCCTCTGCTACTGCCACAGAACAGATCTGGGCCCTCTGTGCCCTTGCTTCAACTCAACACAGTTAACTCTTATTTTCATCATCATATTTATCACTATCTATTATGTTCTTGCGTATGTCTTTTTTGGGCATTTTTTATTATCTGCCCTTCATTTATCACTATCTGATGTTGTTTATGCATTTTTATTTGCTTTTTATCCATCCACACTTCTTACACATACCGTCCGGTAGAATTTAAGTTCCTTGACAGCAAGGATCCTGTCTGCCTTATTCACTGCTGTGTCTCACTGAGAACCTAGCATACTCTCCCAAAGTGTGATCATAGGAGATTGTGCCCAGTGACACCAGACATGCACTAATCATCTCAGTTTGTTAGAGCTTGCGGGAACGCATCCCCAAATAAACAAAGGGCAAAGGTCCATGAGCCCTATATATACCCACCATTAGAATTTCACCACAGGGAATAATAGTCCAGCTTTCCCACGGCAAGGGTATATTTAGTGTTCCTTGTCTCTTCTCTTTCCTCTCTTCCAAACCATCAGCCTGGCTTTTAAGCATTATACTTCTTTCATATAGCCCTTCCCTGTGAGGCTACAACTCCCTTTGCAAAAGTAATTAGGAACATATTACCTCTTTCCTACATCTCTCTCCACCCTAGGACACACCAAAAGCACTCATTGTCAGTGTGTAAGGCTACTTGAAAACTTGCCATATCTCCATTTTGCTACATTTTTCAGGCTATCACCAATTTTTAGTGCAATGCAGTTTTTCTGATCCAATCTCTTTCTGTGAGCAAGTTGCCGTCACTTGCTCGGCTATACTAAAGTACACTTAGAATCATGTATTCATTCAAAGACTGGGACCAGGAGGGGAGAGATGTAAGCTGTGCTCTGCCAGATTCTTTTCTATGAAGGGTGACCTTGAAAAGCCCTGCAGAAAGTGGCCTCTTCAGTCCTACATGCTTCTCCACCACTGTGCCTGCTCACAGAGTAAGCGTTCAGGCCATGGACTTGTCAAGCATCACTGCATAGGGAAAAGACACTGCTTTCACTACTGCCCTAGCTGATCTTTTTTTTTTCCAGGCACATCCATGTGTTCATGCCATAGCTGATCTTAAGTAAGGTAAAGAAATGTTGGAAGCTGGGACTGTAATGATGCGGCATATTCTAAGGGCAGAAACCAATTTTCCTAGAACTGAAATACCTGCCTCATTTAAGGCTACCATATGACACATGGTTTCACAAGTGTTCGCAACACTTCATTTACTTTACAAAACTCAACTAATTAATTCTTGAGTTCCTTCCCCGGGGTAAAACAAAGCTGCAGCTGTATAGTTAAGGCCTGAGTAGCAGTTGCTTATATGACAAGAAATAGAACCGAGAAAAGATCCGCGAAGATGAACTTGTAATGGATATTCAGACACAGGGGTTTTTTTGTTTGTTTTTTGTTTTTTAAAGCAGTGGCAGCGTTGCTTCCCTCTCCAGCCAGACCCCAGACTCCAGTGCCCACTGGCGTGTCCTTTTCTCTCACACACCCTTCCACCGTGTCAGGCTTTGGACGAAGTTAGAGATCATATTCTCAGGGGGCATGGATCATCTCTCAAACAGACAATGAAAAGCCATCTTGATGGGGGAAATGAGTCATCCTGGGAGCCGGGAGGAAAATGGGTACACCTTGACAATGATCGGCCACAGGAAGTCGATCCATTACGCATTATGCCTTAGCACACCCACCCATACTCTCCCATACTCCCCCGAGGGGGCGCCAATGGCCCACAGCCCACTGACTGCACACTCCTCAGATCTAACTAATGATGCCCACCTGCTAAGCACGTTTTCAATTTACGCAGTCTCCAGCTCTCTACCCCGCCCTTCTCATTCCTCTCGATGGAGGTAATTAACTAGTTGACTACTTATTAGTCCTTCTGCTGATGAAGACTTCAGGCTCATACTAAAGTCTTATACTAAAATAGGTAAAGATTTGTGACACCAGCGGGGGAAAAAATCCCAAACCAGCTAGCAAAACTTTCCTGAAGGACAAAGACACTCAGGAGTTTAAAATTACCTTAAGAGGGTAGATTCCGCACCATGAATCCCTTTTCCCCTTCCCCCTAGCTCCCGATAAGGAAAGATCAGTAACCTTAGAAAAAAATGATAAATTCTGTGACTAATAGGTTTCTTCCTGGGAGCTCCTCGGGGACCGGGAGGTAATTGTGTGTGTGTACGCACGGTCCGTAGAAGCGAAAAAGTCACAGGTTCCTTGAGACCCCGACCCTGCTCCCTTAGCCACCTGGTCTCGGGTCGCCGCGTCCCGGGGGCGGCACGCAGGAAAACGACGCGCTCTGGCGGCGATGCGGCACCAGGGGATTTGACTGCGACCCCCAGCGCGCTCCCGTCCCCACCCCCGCACCCCGCGCCCGCCCGCGCAGCGTGACTGGCCGCCGCTGCAGACCCGGCTCCGGCAGGCGCGGAGCGCAGAGCCAGAGAGGCGGGCGGGCTGCTGCCTGGCGTCCGCCACGCCGTCCTCCCTCCTCCGCTCCCTCCGCCCCTCCCCTGGCGGCCGCGCCGCCTGGAGCCCGGGAAGCCTTGGCGCGGCTGCTCATAGCCCGCAGCTCGGGGACTAGCGCCGAGGCGGGGGCCGCGGGAGCTCGGAGACCACGGCCCGGGGAGAGGCGGAGGGGGCCCGGCCTGGGCGGAGAGAGCCGCGTGTGCGAGTGTTGGCGTGAGAGCCAGGGCTGCACCCGTGCTCGGCGCGGACCGCGCCAGCCCCAGCTCCGCAGCCCGGGAGCCTCCCTGCCTGTGCCCCAAGGCGCGCGCGACACAGCCATGAACACCAACGATGCCAAGGAGTATCTGGCCCGCAGGGAAATCCCTCAGCTTTTCGAGGTAGGGGCCAGGGCCGGCAGAGGGGCGGGAGGATCCGGGCACGGCATCTGCAGGGCTCGGGGTGAGGCAGCCGCGCCCCGTCCCACCTTCCCCACGCGGGGCACGGAAGTGAAGGGGTTTGCAGAAGCCCACTCGCCCGCTCGCCCGAGGGTAGTAGCCTTTCCCGCGGGTGGCCAGGGTCCCCGTCAGATGGCTGGTCTTAGAAGCCCGAATGCCACAGATCAAGTTTCAGTCTTCGAGCTGGGTTCTGGAAGCAGGCTGCCCCAGCTCACCCCTCGGATGTGGACGCCCAGGTGGGCTTCAGACGTTGGCCGGGCCTCGCCCTCTGGGGACGAGGGCCAAGCCAGGTGGGTACAGTCGCCCAGTTTCGAGCAGACCGAGAGGTCCAGGGCCCTAGCCCCTCTACGCGCGAGGGTCGAGACCCCTGCGGAGAAGGGGACATGTGGGCGAAAGCAGCCCTTCCCAGGGACAGCTTGGAAGAGAAGGATGAAAATGAGAAAAACAAATCCCAACCCATCAAGTGCAGCGCTACCTCCCCGGTGACAGGCACCCTGTGCTGCTCTGCGCTTTCGCTGAATGAACTCCTGAGCACGTTTTTCTGTCGCCTTAGGAAGGATGATTCTCCCTCGCCTCCCCGGCCACCTAGAGATAGCGGGTTGGGGAGGGTGCGGCGAGGCAGGCATAACTCCTGTTGCTCTGTCTTCAGACCACATCACAGCATCATCTGCATTAGGGATGGGGGAGAAGGGGACACTATAAGAATGTGAGAGAGGAGGCTTGAGGGATGAACTTAAAAAAAAAACAAACCTTGGTTAGTTCAAGCCACAGCCTCTGTCTCAGGTCTTTTTGTTTCTTTTCCTTCTCTTGATGTTTGAATTTAAAAACATTCCTGAATCCTAAGTGCTTTTGCCTAGGTTTATTAAAAAAAAAAAAAAGAAAGAAAAAATCACAACACGCTCTGCATCTCGATGGAACTGAACGGTGACTGAAAAGGGAAATCCATTCACTGCAAAACTGGCCCCCCATTTCTGAAAAATGATAGCCTGATAGAGTAAACGAAAGGTCATGAGTTCTTTTTCCTGTTTGGGAGATTTGTTCTGTTAAAAGGAATTTAAAAACACAACTCGGAAAAATAATTTGCCCCAATTTCCTCAAACATTTGGGCCGCCATAATTACAGATCTTCATTTTTTTCTCACTTCTGTATGCCACTGTTTTCAGGTCATCCGAAGCCAAGATTTCCAGGTAAACCACCCACTGAGCTCAAGTGTGGTGTGTGAAGCCCAAATCTAGCAAATGTGTTACTCCTGCGTGAAAATAAGCAGGTGCTGTTGCATAAGGACAGGTCTTGGATGCGTGTGGGAATTTTGAGATTTTTTGCTTTTTAATTTTCAAAAAGTAAACATGGAGATTAAGAGCTGAAGGTTTTTCTCACAAATATTACTACTGAGATCAATTTCATTTCTACACTTCTAAAAGAATAATTTAAAACATCTGTAAGAGGGCCGCCTGATTGCAAAATACTACTAATTAGTGAGTCTTTTTTTTTTTTTAAATAAATATGGGTACTGTTTTTCCTCCTTGGTAGAAGTTAGCCACAAAGAATTATGATAGTTTGTTCATGAAAATCTACACTGTGCAAATAAGTGATAGCAGGTGTTTTTGTTCAGGTTTTATACTTTTTGTTGACTTCTCTGCATTTGAATGGGAAATTTTTAAGATAGTGCACACCCAGAAAAGGAAGTCAACTTGCTTAGGTGAAATACCGTAATACAGTGTACTTAGATTTGATCCTGAATGTTGGGAAGATGGAAGAAGACTGCTGGTGACCTTCAAAGGCTCTGTCTTCCACTAAGATGAATCTGTACACTGTACAAGAGGGAAGCAAAACCTGGCAGTTCTCCATGTGATGAGCATAAAACTAAATAGGTTTCTAAAGTGGATTTTCTCCATCAAAATCACAATATTCTAGGCATACAAAGTTTAGCAATTAGGTATCTATCAAACGCCAAAACATTGAATTGGCCCCAGCTGTGGTTATTAGGCACCATTATAGACCAATGGACTGATTACTGAACCTACGTATTGTCAAACAAGTAGATTTATCTAAATGACCTTTTCAGATTTCTTTCTGATTTGAGCGATCCTGTAGGCTAAATGGAATATGAGCAATCTCTGCTAGGTTTATGTTTGAAATGTGTTTCTATTTTTAAATTAAATTTTCTTTTTTTAAAAAGAAAACGACTTTCTCCTAATTTTGTCATGAGTTTTTAATTCTAGCTAACCTTGTGTTTATATTGATTTTGTACCTTAGAGCAGAGATTTGGCAATTAATTTCAATATCGTGGAAAGTCAAATTATTCAAATTCTCAAAGGTTTAACTCAGAGACTGAGTAATAATGTCTTCTGGTTGGCTTCAATCCCTGATAATGGCTGGCTTTTAGAAGAGAGGATTTAAATTATCAAAGAAGGAGTAGAACTCATTGTCCACTTTTAAAATCAGTGCCCTTTGGGTAATCAATTTTGTTTAGGGAGGCTGGAAATGTATATTTTCCAGTCAGAAAAGATTCATTGTCTTCACCCATTTTAGGCAAGAGTAGGGATAAAAAAGTGAAAAGACCTAAGCTTGAGTAATTCGTATTGTAGTTGGAGTATGCATGGGGCACAGAGAATCTAGTATTTTCTTTTACCTTTTGTCATATTTTTGCAAGATATACAGAGAGGAATATATAGGTTTTGGAATCAGAAACATTGGGTTAGAATCCTGGTCCTAGTAGTTTCTAGCTGAGTAATGTTGAGCAAGTTACTAACATCTCTGAGCCATGATTTCCTAATCAGTAAAATGGGATAATAATGCCACACAGGACTGAGAGTATGTTGGATGGGTTAATGCGGATATGACACAGAGGTCTTTATGTATCAATAAAGCTAACAATGGCTCAGTGTATAGGAGGAATGTGAGAAACTAAACTGCAGTGTGTGTGTACATAGCACAGATTTTGACACACAAACTGGATTGAATGGCCGAGTTAGCCTCTCTCTGCAATTGGACTTGTCTGATGGAGTTACCCATTCTATTTAGGATTTCAGAAAACCAATGTACCTAGTAAGAATTGCCTACCATTCTGGGCAAATTACACAAGAATAATTTGAATACAAAATACTATATTTAGGAAAAATATCAGCCTTTCAAAGGGTGTTTTGTATGTTAATAATGTATATTGGTGATAATAATCCTTTATGCTTTTCCCATGAAATACTGTAAAGGAAAATAGTTTGCACATCAGGCCAGTTCCCAGGAGTCAACATTTCCAAACTTGTAGCATTTTTAGGAACTAGTACATGTGACATATTGGACACCATGAACAGAAAAAGTAATAGCAGAATCGTGCTTTTTGCCGCCTCTGGCACCTCAGTGGATATTGTAGTGACTTACTATGTATCAAATAGCAATTTTTTAGTTTCAGACTTCAATTTTTTTGAGTCTGTCTTAGACTTGAGTTTCAAGGGATTTTTTTCCCAATCAGAAAATGGTTTAATATGCACCTACCATATGCCAGGGAAAGTGTCAGTTGCTGGGGATTGAAAAATAAACAAGATATGCTCTGTGTTTTGAAGAGTTTATAGTTTACAAAAGGAGACCAACATAAACCAAGGGTTTCAGAATAAATGACAACTGTCATGTCCCATGCTGGTACCATGGGAACACAAAAACACAGAAGAGGGAGTCCGAGGCCAACCTAGGGATTCAAGGGAGACTTTCTGATAATAATAACTAAAACTACCAACATTTATTGCATCCTTACTATATGGTAGGCACTTAATATGCACTGTACAAATACTAATTTTTTAATTCTTAAAAAACCCTATGAGATATTTATTATTGCCCCCATTTTATAGAAGAAACTGAGACTTGGAGACTTTAAGAATGGGTAGGAGTAAGATAAATAATGACAGGGCATTTTTCACATGCTGTGCTTTATCTCACTGTGATAAGGATTTTCTGTTTTAAACTAGTCTGAATTGCTTAAAAGGCAGAGAATGCAGAGCTGAAAACTAATTCATCAGGAACTTAAGGGATTATCTTACTCAAATCATAATTTCGACTCTAATTGTTTATTAAAAGACGAATGCAAAGGACAAAAACAACTCAGAATTCAAATACGGGACATAACACTATTTTAACAAAGGTGATTTTAAAATGTATTTGTATCTATTTTGTTATATTTCAGAGCCTTTTGAATGGACTCATGTGTTCTAAGCCGGAAGACCCAGTAGAGTACTTGGAAAGTTGTTTACAGAAAGTAAAGGAACTAGGTGGCTGTGACAAGGTGAAATGGGATACCTTTGTCAGCCAGGAGAAGAAGACCTTACCTCCTCTAAACGGAGGACAGCCACGGAGATCCTTTCTAAGAAATGGTAATGTATATGTAGAATAATAGACAGTTTTATAGTTATAGCAATTCTCTTTAAAACATATATAGACTTTAGGCAGTGATTTAATTTATTGAATTTACAAATGCCTGGAAGAATATAAATCCCTGGAGCATGATTAATCCCTCTGTGCTACTAATTCTAATCACCTCCATGATAAGACAAACAAAATTACATACCATTGTCCAGCAATTCACTAACAGGTTAATGAAATTTTACATTACTTCATCATTTGGCAACGACATTAGCAAACCATGAATTTTTCTTGAAATTGCAAATAAGACCTTTCCAAATGAGTAGAAAACAAGTAAAATTGGTAGTTATAACGATTCAACATTTTACATCAGCTAGAAAGAGATTTGGCTTATTAACATGTTACCAAGTTCAGAGTTCATATTAATGCCTCTGCATAAATCCGTGTAAAGTTTATACTAGTTAATTTAATAAAAATGTATTAAGCAGTTACTGAATGCAATGTTTAGATTAGGCATTTGGGTGCTATAAAAGAATGAGAAGAAGTAAACTTGTTTAAATTTTAGGAGTTGTTTAGAACTAAAATTGGAGTTCATTAGAGAAGATTTGTGGTGTTCTGATCTCTTTTTGAAATATGTGCTTATCAAAATTAGAGGTTCAACATCAGCCAACCAGCCTTTGAGGCTCTAGAAGAAGTTGAGAAGTATAATAGTATGTGCAAAATGGAATCAGTTCCAATCAGCGGGAACTAAGTTAATTCTTTTCTAAGAATTTCTAAAATTCTTTTGTAAAATACCATGATCCCATGGACAAGATCACTGTATTTTCAAAACTTAAACCATTCTCCAAAACTATACCACATAAAGTTATACTGTAAAGACAGAATTTGAAGTGGCAACATTTCTACTTGTAATGAATATAAGCAGGAAACAAATCTTAGTTTGTTTAACCTTTTTTAGTCATGATCTACTTAGATTTTATTGGAATACAGTATGGGTAAAAGTCATAGCGGGCTAATTTTCAAGAAACGCAAGCAAAAGAGGGAAGACAGAAATAACATTTCCCCAGAAATATCTCCAAAGAGAAGAGTCCCTGTTCATGCAGGAGTCAATACTAGATGATTTAGATTTGAGTACTCAAATGTTTTGCTGATATGACACCTCCTACCAACCAAATTTCCCGCTGCTGCTGAGAAGCAACCAAGATATCTGAAATTGCTGCTTAAAACTAATTTCAGAAACTTTCAAATGTTAAAACAGACCTAAAAACAGAGAAATAATTAGAAATACTTGGTACGACCATAAGGTAATAAGATTAGCATTCCATGTTTTAGAGAGCAGTTAATCTCATTATTCTACGAGGTCTCTTACCCCTATCCATCTCACATAGATAGATGGTAAACATCACTCAGTACAAAATAAGCCATGTGTTTACATTCTGTGGCAAGTCCTAAGGTTAAAGTTGTATCTTCCTATGCTCACTAAATTGAATTTGCACCCAATATTTTAATTTGACCCTTAGAACTATTCTAAACTAAAGATATTTTATTCTTCCCATGTAATCTACTCATAGACACAGTTTCTGGTTGATAACAGAGCAGAGTCCCAAGCTGTAAAGTTTACTGTTTGTAAATCAGTGAGGTTTCTGGTTCACCGAGCACAGCCTAGGATACGCAGAGTAGCGAGTGCACTGAATTGGAATGTAGGACTCCACTTCAAACTGTGTAGACACAGCTTAGACTTGGCACCTCTGTGGGCTGCAGGTACTCTTGTGAGTCACCAGAGTACCTTAAGCCAGTTGCTGCTAAAGCATGCCCCTTAGTACTGCTTTGGTGAACAAAATGATATTTTAGTGGGCTTGAGTAATTCATACACATTCCCAAAATGGCTAACTTACTTCCCAGGTGTTGTCATACTGTTAGAATCTAGCTCAATGTTAAATATATACCCCATACTCTCGTTAGATCAAGAGAGATAAATATGGGGGACTGCTTTCTAAACCTTAAAGCACTAACAAACCTCAGATATTACTG